CGATTTCGACGCGACAAACAAAATGCTCGCGGACTATTGTCGCGTATCGATTGCAGCGCGGGCACGATTGGCGGAACGAATCACGTTAGAAATTAAGGAACACCCGCCGCATCGCGTCGTCCGCAATTTCCTCGCGGACGCGACGTTTCGGATATGTTTCGGTGTTTGTCCAGGAATGATTTACCGGTGGCGTGCGCGCGGCCGCGGGGATGAGTTCCGCGCGATTGCATTCGATAAAAGCGCGAGTGGGAGAGCGCGGAAAATCTTTCTTTCTCTCTCTCTCTCTCTCTCTCTCTCTCTCTCTCTCTCTATCTATCTATCTATCTATCTCCATCTCCCTCTCGGCGCGGATCTTTCCAATTTATTTTCCGGGACGGTGGAGATCCTCGCACGGGTCGCGAATAACGGACGGACGGACGGGCGGAATGGTTTCAAACTATCGGTTTGGCGTATTTGGATTTCATTTATATACCGGCAAAGTATCCTGGCCGGAATATGGCCGATGTCACGGGCCGCGCCGGTGCCGAAGATTAATCGTGCGTCCTGCGATGTGAAGACAGATAAATCTCTCTTATCACGTTACCGAGACGAGATGGATTCCCCGGTGGGATATCAACGGCCCGCGCCCGAGAAAATAGATCGTTCGCGACTCGCGGAAATTATTTTTATCATCGTTCTCCGCGCGGTTTGCCGTAATTTAACATTCCGTCGGGGCGCAATGCAACATTCCTCGTCGCGCGCTCGTTCTGTTTCGCGGCGACTGGAGACCTTCAAGGGTCTTGGCTGACGTTTCGATTCGTTTTTCGAGTGCACGTTCAAATGTTTACCGCGTATCCGTTTAGAAACATCTGATGGAAACCGTTTCTGAATAATTGGATGTTTAATCGTTTAAACGGATTCTGCAATGCGTGCTCTCGAAAATACAATCGGTATATTCTTCATTAAAATGCTACATCTGTAATGGCAAATCTAAACTGATGGTTCAGATAAAAGTATAAAGATCAGTAAAATTTCTCACTGAAAGAATCGGTAGCAGCGACTGTCCCTAATATTGGCGCAGTTTGCAAGTGTCATTGCACTCAAGTCGCACGGAAGCTGGTAATTCCACCGCCACAAATACAGAAAGTTGGATATGACTGCACTGTAAAAAATTTGTGTAAAATCCCATGTAATTATAAGACCAAGTATTATAGTTATAAATTTACACAATGTATCAAAATGTGTCTTTCGTCTATATAAATATATTTTTATGCGATAATTACGTGTGTAAATTTACATCTGTAATAGTTGGTCTCAAAATTACCCACTATAATAGATGTAATTTTACACAAATTTTTACAGTGTATAATGAATTTGTAGTGTACAAATTTTGCAGTGAAATCATGCTTCTGTTAATAAAAATTAGTGACATATAAGATGAAGCACACACACATACAGTAAAATGGAAGTATTTCCATCAAAAATCAGTGTCCATTCATTGATTATCAATGAAACGCCCCCCTTTTACTGATTCAATCTGAAACATTTTTGCTGATTCACTTCAAGAGAGTATATACACGTGTATGTGACAACAATACGAATAATTATTTACATGACTATGACTAGTCGTGCAAAAGACAAAAGCATATACACGCGATGTGATGTCATTGCTGATTGTCTTCCTTAGCTTGGCACGATTGCAAAAAAGGGCTAGTAACTCTTGTTTCTGTTTGAAGACGTATAAACAGATACACGATAAACGGATTGAAAGTTAGTAAACAAATATACATTTTTAAAAACACGCGATTGATTTTATCATACGTATCGTATTATACACATGCACGCTAAATATATGTTTAAACGTTTTTCCGCTTAAACGTTATATGGAGC